AACAATTCTCTCATGCCTTCGCTCATTGTATTGTTTTGCTTTGATAGCGCAATCTTCGTTCGCCCACTCAATTGCGCTCGTAACAGTATTGCAACTTTCATGTCACCGTGTTATGCGTGCAATTGGATAAGATAAGATAACTTTATGAGAAGATAAGATAAGGATGGGTTGGGAAGTACTGTTCAAAGGTGAACAGTAAAACCTATGTACACCCTATTCTCGATAATTTCACACCCCCTAATCTTACACCCTGGGGTAAATACCCTCGGTCACTCGTTTTCGGAGGGTAGTTGACGACGTTTTCATACATCTGGACGAGTTTCCCACCCACTCTCGCGAATTGCGGGGCAATCAGAATGTCAAAGGTACCCCAAACCCAACAAAACCCTTCACTCGGAACACAAAGTGCGAGTTTAAATCTAGAGTTCCTTCCGGTTTTTTTCAATAGTCCCTCAATCTCTGGGAATCCCTCGCATCAGACCGAAATACGTAAAGGGTACCTACGAAAAAAGGGTAGGAGGTGTGAAATTATCGAGAATATGGTGTAACAGCCTGTGGGAACTGGGCGCGAGCGCGGAGTGATGAGCTGTCAAAACCACAAGGGCGAAATTGGAAACTAGCAAACGGGGCGGTTGTCATTTCCTCCCCAACAATCCATGACTTGAGAAATGATGTGTGGGGTGGGTGGGAGGGACCTTCAACCCTACGACCAGACGGGTGGCACGTTTGCCACTCGCCAATCTCGAGGCTGCTTCAGACAGGCGCAGAGCGAAGTCAGGCGGAACAGACTGCGCAGTGAGGCAGCATGTCGTGTCGTCAAACTGGACATCCACATTTCAGGCGTAGTCAAACGGTTGACATGACATTCTCTGGTGCGCGACGCTCGATGGTACAGTGGTGTGTCTGCTGCTCGATTGTCAACATTTCTGATACACTTGTTCGGCTTTGGGGCTCGAGTTGATGGACAAGGAGCTAGCAGGTTCAGGTTTCATTCGTTGTGAGGGGACAACGACTTTTCACACATTGTCCCACAGCCTCATCTGATTCAACGCCCTGACAGGAAATCTTCCAGGTAACAATCGGCTCAGTATAGCTCAGCCGACAAGCGACCCCGCCCGGATGAGCTCGCTGCCCGCGGGCAAAAAAATAAACCCCAGTCGGGCATGCATCCGGTCAGGGAGGCATCAACCCTAAACACAGGGAGGCATGGATTTAGGGTTGATGCCTCCCTCGGATGGCATGCCATCCGATGGGGTTTTAGTTTTTTCCTGCCCGTCGGTCAGGTCGACGGTAGTCGACGGTCCGTCGACCACCGTCGGACCCCGTTTGGTTGAGACATATAGCGTCGTTTACCCCAGCTATTCCAAATCAAGCTGAATCTCCAAAGCTGAACTCATGGAAGTTTATTTGCAGGTTATCAATCCTCACGTAGAGCTAGGAAGTTCACAAGCCTAAGTCTTAATTCTCATAATTGATAGTCTCGTGGCAGACAAACTACAATGATCATTTCATAAAACAGCAAAACAAGAAACAACACCAATATCACTCGTTCTCGAGTGAAAAGGAACACTTTTGCTTGGCATTCCTTCCTCTATACTAAGACGACGAATTTATTATACAGGGAATCTCTACGCCAGTAGCACACCGTTGGCCTCGTTGATGGGTGGTAGCGAGTGTCCGTCGAACGCGGTGTAGAGGCAGTCGGCGGACATGACGCTGGACGTGCGGTAGTCCTTCACCTCGCCGTCCAGGTACCCTCGGCCCTCCACGCCGTCCGCCGCGAACGACCGCCGCAGCAGCACCGACAGCGACGTGTACTCCAACGCGCGTTTCCGCCGGCCCTCGCGGTACGTCTGCCCCATGATGCCGTGCATGGCGGGGGTGCGCTCCACGTTGGCGAAGTGCAGGTTGATGTGCGTCTGCGCGTCCGCGTCCGTCTGCAGCAGCGGGTGCGCGGGCCGCAGCTTCACGTCCAGCTTGATCAGCCCCTCCACCTCCAGCGAGTACGCGTCCACGTCGAAGAACCCGCCGCCCTGCTTCTCGTACCCCGTGAACGCCAACGTCAGCCCGCCGGGCAGCGCGTACTTGCTGCCCACGGACAGCTGCGGCAGCGCCTTGCCGTCGAACTCCATCTCCCCCATGTACCCCGCGCCGCGCGCCATCTCCTTGCCGTCGCGCGCCGCCATGCGGAACGAGTGCTTCACCCCCGCCGCGTCGATCCACATAATGCCCAGCTCCTTGATCCACGTGCGCACCGCCTTGCCGCCCTTCAGAATCGACGCGCCGATCGTGCGGTCGTCGTAGTACCCGCGCATGCGCATGTTGACGTGGATTCGCGCGTCCGTGACGAGGCAGAAGCTCTGGTCGGGCAGCCCGTTGAAGTCGAATTGCGTGCCCTCCGCGCCCGTGAAGTGCGGGTCGTTGAGCGACGACGGGCACGGCCGCGCCACGCGAGTCACGTTCCACAGGATGCCCTCGGGAATGCATGTGGGAGGCGCCGCTAGCGGCGGGTAGATGTAGCACACACCGCAGTTGGCGCAATCCGCACGTCTGTTGGGAGACGGGGAAGAGGATCAGGGTTAGTTCCATCCAACTGTCCCCAACATAAGAGATCCAATCATAACGTCAACATATGAATATCCTGCTCTCACGTTGATGGTTCGTCCATGTACGGAATTAATTGAAGGGTGGTGCTGGAAAAGTGACTTACGGTTGGTAGAATTGCCAGTAGGTGCACGTGCGGCGGCTGATGCACTTGTTGCAGCACGACGGCAGGCTCATGCCGTCGTAGCAGTAGAGGCGGCTCGTGCTGATGGCGTTGTTGTACTCTGGCGGACACGTCGCATTCTGCAGAAACGCGGGGAGCGAGTAGCGCGAGTACACGCCGGCGTTGCCCGAGTTGCACGCAGTAGAGCACGTGATGTTCTGCGCCGGTACGCACGGATCGCCCGTGGGGTTGTTGCTGCCTTGAGTCCCCGTCGTGTTGTTGCTCGTCGATCCTTGCCCGTTGCCGTTCTGCGCAACGGCGTGAGACGCCACCGCCAGCACCATGACGATCGCGAGCAGCACTCTGAATCTCGTCATGACGGCTGATGTGATCGACGCACAAGGATGGAGGTGAGGATTGGTCGAAATACTGGTCTTGGAGATGAGATTGAAATGTCGAGCAAATGTGAGCACTTCGGCGGATGTGCTAGCAGGAAAACACCAGGATGGATATGCTGTTAGATAGTGCCGCTGGGAGATACTGAAGAAAGTGATGTCAAGTTGAGCAAGTTTATGCTCAACCATGTATCCTCTGGTGGTCTCTCGTCGTCAACGCAACAGACCCCTCGTCGGCTGGCTGACTGACTCCCTCCCCACGGTCTACGGAAACAGTAATTCAAGCGCGAAGCGGTGAGAGTACTGTGCTCTCTATTCGGGGTCAATCAACCACAAGACCGATGTTCCAGGCCAAATCGGTATGTACCGTTGGGTTCCATACAGCGAAATTGCTCTCCACTGACAGGAAACGAGTTGCACTTCAGCGCGTTTTTGTAGGTTGATGCCTTCCTCACTATGGCGAAGTTTTTTGGTAGAGCCATCGTGGCACGCCTTCATTCGTCAGTGATTATAAAGAGGAATGGTTTCCTCCGAAACATAGGTGGGCATCAATAGGTGTTACATCTAGTATCGAGTTTTTCTTCCAGCCTATGAGTTGCCTCGTTTCAACCAGAGGCTCTCTCGTCTCGTCCCTTGTGACCTGTGGCACATTTGAGTGTTGGTGGTCACTTGTTGCTTTATGGTGGAGACAGCTGGTTCCCCCTGTCAGTCAATGCCTTGACATGTCCGCTAAATTCAGAACATGACAAATTTCATGTAGGGATTTCTTGTCGTGTGAACTTGGGGTCAAACTGTTGCCCCTTTTCTTTTTGGGCAACTCAGCCAAAACAAAGAAGCTGTTGCGACTGGCCTCACGATCTCCGACCAGCATAAAGCTGTCAACGGTTCCAAAATGACAAGGCTTTCGTCTTTTAGCTTCAACTGAGCTTCACCATAGTCAAGGGGTTTTGGAGTTTCTGTCTCCTCTCCCGTTGGTGATGTGGTCGTGATGGATGGGCGCTACACCCTATTCTCGATAATTTCACACCCCTTAAGTACACACCCTGGGGTAATTACTCTTGGTTAAACGTTAAAGCTGGGTAGCAAGCAACGATTGTAGACTTTCGGAGGAAACTTCTCGCAACCTGCTCGCGAATGGAAGAAAAGAAACCAGAGTTCCAAGGGCAGCCATCCACCCCTACTACTCACTCGGAAAATTAAGTGCGAGGCTCGATAACTACCCTCGTCAATCTTTGGGTGTCCGTCACATCGAGCCAGAAAACGTACAGGGTACCTTCGAAATAGGGGGTAGGGGGTGTGCAATTATCGAGAATGGGGTGTATTGGAAGCCAGTCAATTGATATCCAAGATGTCAGACAGGAAGAAGGCATTTTTTCGTAGTGGCACTTAGTGGAAGTACTCTGAACTGTACTCATTGTTGTACAGTGGAAGGCCACCTCTGTTTGGTCATTTCCACGACCAGTCAATGGTAACAAACCTCCACTCACGCCAACCTTCCCCGAATGCCTGACCATTCATACTACAGTACTGCCGCAGCGTGCTCTCTGACCATACTTTATGGACGCCAGGAAGCCCCCCGCAGTTGTCTGACATGCGCCTCGGTTCTGCAGTTCCGTGGGGCTTGGCTGCACAACAGTGCTGAAGCTTGTCAATTCGCCAGCCCCAAAGAAAGAAGGTTTCTGTAAAAACATTGTTTTTGAAAACCAGGGTACAGACAGATTTCTCAGGCACACAAACGAAAATCACCCAAGATCCTGAAAATCGACAAAATCGGCTAACTTATGCCGTCCTGACTCAAGAGTCCAAGTTAGGGAAGTGCAACTCCCTTCAAATCTGAGCGAAGTACGTTGGCGCAATTTATGACTACCTGAGGAACATAAACAGAATCTCACACCGAAATGCTTCACTCCCTCTACTTAAATAGACGCTGTGTGGAATCGAACGACAAGAACGAGGATGGGGAGGTTCCCGCCGTCAGGAGGGCAGCATGTTTGGAGGGAGTTGAGTGAGGGAACCAGAACTACCCTAGGTTGGGTCAGTTACGAATGCGCGGGTATTACGACGACCGCACGATCGGCGCGTCGATCCTGAAGGGCGGAAAGGCGGTGCGCACGTGGATCAAGGAGCTGGGCATTATGTGGATCGACGCGGCGGGGGTGAAGCACTCGTTCCGCATGGCGGCGCGCGACGGCAAGGAGATGGCGCGCGGCGCGGGGTACATGGGGGAGATGGAGTTCGACGGCAAGGCGCTGCCGCAGCTGTCCGTGGGCAGCAAGTACGCGCTGCCCGGCGGGCTGACGTTGGCGTTCACGGGGTACGAGAAGCAGGGCGGCGGGTTCTTCGACATGGACGCGTACTCGCTGGAGGTGGAGGGGCTGATCAAGCTGGACGTGAAGCTGCGGCCCGCGCACCCGCTGCTGCAGACGGACGCGGACGCGCAGACGCACATCAACCTGCACTTCGCCAACGTGGAGCGCACCCCCGCCATGCACGGCGTCATGGGACAGACGTACCGCGAGGGCCGGCGGAAACGCGCGTTGGAGTACACGTCGCTGTCGGTGCTGCTGCGGCGGTCGTTCGCGGCGGACGGCGTGGAGGGCCGAGGGTACCTGGACGGCGAGGTGAAGGACTACCGGACGTCCAGCGTCATGTCCACCGACTGCCTCTACACCGCGTTCGACGGCCACACGCTACCACCCATCAACGAGGCCAACGGCGTGATCCGGGCGTAGAAATTACCTGTACAATAAACGCGTTTGGGAATCACTTCATAGGCAGGATTGTCAAACGATGAAGTTTGCTTTTCACTCGCAAACGAGTGATTTTACTGGTGGTTTCTTCTAGGAATTTTTACAGACCTTGTTTTGCTGTTTAATGTTGGCCATCTTTCTGAACGGATCTGAAGTAAAGTCAGGTTTTGAAGAATTTTAGAACTACGTTTTTAATCCCTTTGGGATTTGCTCTCCCAGTGAAAGAATTGTCGCCGCCGAATTAATCCCCATAGCTCATCCGCAATTCGTAAATAAGAGACACGGGTTGCTATTGACTCAGAAACGAGAGTTCCCGAAACATCATGTGAAGTGAAATGATAATTCAGAGTTTTGCCTGCCACAGCGGGCCTCTGAAATGGTTCAGAATTAGTACATGAGGCGGAAACCCCGGCGTGCACGATCTGTTTTACTCCATGAATTTCCTTTCCAACCGAAAGTGTTTGGCGTTGTTCGGGAGAACCAGAGGAAGAGGAGTATATGATCCAGAGGATGAATAGTACTAGGCTCGGGGGCCCAAAAATCGCGTGCGACCCCCTTGCGACCACTTTCGTGACCAAACCTCGCGGTTTGGAAACATCAACCTCAACTTCTCCTCTGCAGCGGCTCGAGATTCCGAGCCGCTGCCCCTACAGTGGGTTGAATGCACAGTAATCACAGGCAATTCTTCCCTCACTTTCTCCTCGCCATGCTCTAGCGAGGAGAAAGTGAGGCTTAGTACTCAAGAAAACTTGTTGGGCATCTCGGTTTCATATTCAAGATTACCCAGGGCAGACATGTACGACCGAAATTGTACCAACGTGTACACCCTACAAGACACAATCCACCCAACGTTTCCTGTTGAGTTGTATTGTTGATGTGGTTTTTTTTCGTGTTGCAAGGGTTTCTTCGGTTTAGAAAATAGGTTTTGCGATGGAGAGGAAATGGGAAGTTGAGAGTTCCGATGAGATGGTAGCTGCGTTTTGGGCATCTTGACCTCCGGCGTGCGGTGGTTGTCGTTTTTGCTCAAATTGGGGCGTTGACTATGCACACCCCTGTCATTTTCTCCAGCTGGCGAATCTGATTGTACAGCTGTCGACACTGTACAATTTGTCTAGTGGTGTGTTGTCGTTTTTCTTCTTCAGGCTCGGTGCAGAGCAGCATCCTCTTCCTCTGTTTCGGGGCTCCCGAACACCACCTTTGTGGCCACCTTGGGACAATGGCCGTTTAGAGAGGAGTTGCTCAATCAAGTGCAATTGCAATAGCATCAGCCGACGGGAGTTGCTTGTCAGCAAATTGATCAAAAGCGGAACGGAGGACTGAACAGCAAAATGTAGAACCGAGTTCCAGACCAGAGAAGAGAACGTCTAGCGTTTGACTACTGAGCTGTAGACGCCAGAGAGGTGGATTTACTGTACAGTATCAAAAATTCAAATGACGAAGCGACACGATGGCACGATGACCTCGCGGTGCCACAGTGCGTGGTCTGTAGCATACGTGCCACCTGTCTCGCTTTCCGAAAGCATCCGCGTCGAAAATCGGGATTCGCCGATGCCAAACGTGCCACCTGTCTGGTCAGAGAGAGGGTCCCACATTTGTTGGTTGGGCAAAGATCAAATTAGGGCAGAGAAGTGGCCAAAGTAGGGCCGGGTGTGTCGCACGGTGACGAACCTGTTACTGGCCAAGCCTAAGGTTGCATTCCTGGCCCGGACACCATCCGAAGTTCGGACATCCTGAGCTGTTTTTTAATTGTTTTCGATTGAAGGTCTAAACACAGAGTTACCTCGTATTGTTAGCCTTCATGGATGCGCGAACCCAACTTACCCAGAAGCAACCAAGTCTCGAAGATATGGCGCACGGACTCAGTCAACTGTGCTCACTCACACTCACTCACACGTGTGGCGTGGAGTGTACTCACATTGTGGAGAAGTTCGTTCGTTTTTCTCTCAGCATTACAAAATTTCGTAGCACGGTGTCCAGGTCAGGTTAAAACTGGGGAGCATTCAAAAACCGCTAAAAGTGTCCAAACTTCGAATGGTGTCCGGGCCAGGAATGCAATCTAACCAGTTTTGGGGCTCACCCAGGCGCTTCGTCAGTTTGACCACAAAAATGTGACGAATTCTGCTTGACGAGACCTACAGGTCTATTATTAACTCTGGGCAGAGAACAAACGATGAAAACTTTTAGATCTAGACACTTTTCACACAAAGACCAGTATTTGGGAGAAACTGTGCAGAAATACTAAAACCCGCTCGGACGTTATGTCCTTCTAGAGGCCAAAACCCTAACCACCTTGTCGCATGGTGTTTATGTTTGATGCCTCCTCGATGAAATGTTGTAGTTAAGGGTTTTATTTATTTCGTCAGTGCGATATTACATATTTTAATACTAAAATAAATATTATTTTAAGGACGAATAATACTAAATAAATGTGGTATTTACTGGGGTTGGATTTCGCTAGAAATACTAGCGACATCCGTCAACATTTGATTTTTGGGCTGTGATGTGACACGTAGGCCTGGCTCGAACTGTTTGGTTAGGTGCTTGGCAGCTTCGGACCTACGTACTAGGGGTGCGACACACCCGGCCCTACTTTGGCCACTTCTCTGCTATTGTTTGGACCGATATTTGCCCTTTGTTGGATCATGGCCGATTGGGGCTGATGGTTTTTTATTATTATTATTATTATTATTATTATTATTATTATTATTATTATTATTATGTACAGCACGTACTGTCAGATTTATATGACATAGCTACTGTAGGCTAGAGTGGGGTAGCACATATGGGGTACAGTTTTCTAGGGTTTGCTTCTTGTACCCAACTTTCACTTAGTCATTCTCATTCCTGTTTTTCTTGATTCACATGGTATAGAGCGGGTTCCTACATGGGACCGTTCCTTCCTAAGGGCCCACCATAAGAATTTTTTTTTTTAGCTGCCCGCGCACATTGCGCCCTACCCTAATTTTTTTTTTTAGCGGCCCCTACGCTGCCTCTACGCGGCCCCTACGCCGCCTCCCACGCGCCCCCTCTGCGGCCCCTGGCGGCGCCCTGACGAGGCCCCTGCCGGCGCCCTATCGCGGCCCCTGACGCGCCCCCCTGGTGGCGCCCTGACGCGGCCCCTGGCGGCGCCTGACGCGGCCCTGACGCGGCCTGACGCGGCCCCTGGCGGCGCCCTGACGCAGCCCCTGCCGCGGCCCTGACGCGGCCCTGCCGCGGCCCCTGACGCGGCCCTGACGCGGCCTGCCGCGGCCCCTGCCGCGGCCCTGAAGCGGCCCCTGACGCGGCCCTGACGCGGCCCTGACGCGGCCCTGACGCGGCCCTGCCGCGGCCCCTGGCGGCGCCCTGACGCGGCCCCTGACGCGGCGCCCTGACGCGGCCCCTGCCGCGGCCCTGACGCGGCCCTGCCGCGGCCCCTGACGCGGTCCTGACGCGGCCTGCTGCGGCCCCTGCCGCGGCCCTGAAGCGGCCCCTGACGCGGCCCTGAAGCGGCTCTGCCGCGGCCCTGACGCGGCCCTGACGCGGCCCCTGACGCGGCCCCTGCCGCGGCCCCTTACGCGGCCCTGACGCGGTCCTGCCGCGGCCCCTGGCGGCGCCCTGACGCGGCCCCTGACGCGGCGCCCTGACGCGACCCTGCCGCGGCCCCTGACGCGGCCCCTGCCGCGGCCCCTGACGCGGCCCCTGACGCGGCCCCTGTCGCGGCCCCTGACGCGGCCCCGCCTCCTCTCAGCGGCTCCGCCGCCTCCTCTCAGCGGCCCCGCCGCCTCCTCCCAGCGGCCCCGGACGCCGCCCTCTCAGCGGCCCCGCCGAGCCGCCCAGCAGCCGAGCCGCCGAGCCGCCCAGCAGCCGAGCCGCCCAGCAGCAAAGCCGCCGAGCCGCCCAGCAGCCGAGTCGCTGAGCCGCCCAGCAGCCGAGCCGCCGAGCCGCCCAGCAGCCGAGCCGCCCAGCAGCCGAGTCGCCGAGCCGCCCTGCAGCCGAGCCGCCCGAGCCGCCCTGTCCGGTAAGAGCAGCGCCTCTCTCACAGCACTGCCCTCACCCCACTGTTTGCACTGCTAGTCTACTACTGTCATGGCTACCCCTAGTGTCCTCGCTTTTGACGCTGAGGGTCGGGCCATTGACTTTGACGTCTGGATAGATGACCTGCAGCTTTTCTTACAGTGCGATAGGGCAGACGGCCTCTCCCTCTTTGACCTCACTTCTGGTGCCTCTCCTGCTCCCGCCACTGATGCTGACGCAACTGTTCGCTCCCAGTGGGCCACGCGCGATGCTGCTGCACGTCTTGCTGTGCGTCGCCACCTGCCTACCTCTGAGCGTGCGCACTTTAGCCAGTACAAGAGTGCTCAGACCTTGTACGACGCTGTAGTTGCACGCTACTCCTCCCCTGCCACTGCTGCACTGAGCCGCCTCATGCTACCGTACCTCTTCCCTGACCTTGCTGCCTTTCCCACAGTCGCTGACCTCATCACGCACCTCCGCACTAGTGACACTCGCTACCGCGCTGCGCTTCCTGCTGAGTTCTGCGCCAAGAACCCCCCCCCCATGTACATCACCCTCTACTACATCGTCACCCGTCTCCCTGACTCCCTTCGCGTAGTCAGGGACCACTTCCTCTCGGTTTGTCCCACCACTCTCACCGTTGACCTCCTCGAGAAGGCCCTCCTAGCAGCAGAAAAGAGCATAGTCGCTGTAGGAGCCTCTCGTGGTGACCCTCGCACCCCCATCTTTGAGGGGTGTTCCCCCTCCCCTCTTTTGCCCTCTGTTGCCTCTGCTGCTGCGGCCGACCTCGCTGGTTTGGAGTCGGTTGGGGCAGCGTCTACCCCTAGCGGGAGACGCCGCCCTGGCAGGGGCAAGGGGGGCAGGGGCGCTGGAGGAGCTAGCGGGGGCGGTGGAGGCGGCGGTGGAGGTGGTGGAGGAGGTGGTGGTGGCGGTGGGAGTGGTGGCGGGGGTGGAGGTGTAGGTGGCGGCAGTGGAGGCGCAGGAGGCAG